GTCCAGAAACCTCCCATCCTTTCTGGAAGCATTGCTCTGTAAGGCACAGGTCTGATCCCAATTCCTGATGGACGTGGTGTTACTGTGGGGGAACTGTGCCAAGTCTGCCATCAGGGTCAAAAATATTTCCCTCCTGTTCTTAAGCCAAACAAACAAACCTCAGTAAAGGAGGAAGAAAAGGATCTGCCAAGCTTTAGTAAGAGGTGACTTCACCTTCTCAGCTCCAAGCCCCTCAAAGGCAGGTTTAACCAGGAGCCTCCCTGGCAGAGCCGCGGCTGCGATGCTTTTGTCCATCAGAGGGCATTAGAGGCCGCTGAACGCCCTCGGGCTCGGGCTGGCTGCAGAGAACAGCCCGGCTTTCCATCCGCCAGCCCTGCGTTCCTGCTCCTCCCGTGATATCTTCCACTGACTTACCCCGCACCTGGGACATACTGCAAAACATGAAGAAACCTTGTCTTAAGCGTAAACCCCGGGTTTTCCTTTGTGTTCTCTGCTTCTCAGTTCCTCCCTGACTGCAACAGCATCTGTTAAACAAGAACAGAGCCAGCAAATGATCCCACTGGATAAATGGTAATCACAGAATGATGAATTATGCTCCAGAGGAATTAGAAATTCTGTACAAAATACTCACATTGGAACTTCTATCCCAGAAAGTCCAGTCATCAAAGGATCATTCAAATTGTAGCACGATGTTTCACACAATCAATTCTAAAAGCAAGTATTTCTGGCCCAGTAGAAATCTCATTTGGATGCAGAACACCAGGAGTTTAATCCCTGGCACTTGATCTGATAAAAGAAATAGTCTATTATCAAGGCCTCACAAGAGCTCTGATATTCTAATTGCACTTAATGGAACAGTATATTTTCTGAAATAGAGGCTGATGCTGGGGAAAGGGACACAGCCCTGTCAGTGTCTGCCCGTTTGCCTTGGAGCTATAAACAAGCTCTTTGTCGAGTCCCGCCTGAAGTTGTTTGATCACAATCACTCCCAGTGTATGTGCTTGTGTTCTAAAGACTTCAGCAGAATGAGATCATTTCGTGTATCTACTTTTCCCTTCCCCAGTGAGTAATGCCATCCCCACATATGATAGTCATTGGAGAGGTTAAGTTACTTAAATATTATAAAGCAGTATTTTAATTGTTCTGGATGACTAATCAGTACAGCCTAGATTAGAACATTGCCCCAAAGGATAATTTGAGGTTATCACTTCCTCTCCCTGACATTTTGTTTCCTTTCTTGTTTATCACACCATAGCATCAGCAAGAGAAGCCTTCAGCTTGTTCCTAGGCCCGATCTCCTCTGCATCCTGCAGTGGTTCCACTGTGTTAAGAATAATATGTTACAGTTGCTGTTTGTAAACTCCTTACTTACCTTGTACCCCGGTCCCAGGATATTGTTAAGAATAATACGTTCCAGTTGCTGTTTGTAAACCCCTTACTTACCTTGTACCCCTGTCCCAGGTTTACTTACCCTTGTACTCCTGTTGCAAATTGCTGTACCCCATATTTTTATTCCTTGTTCAGCCAGGCCCTGCCCCCTCTCCCAAGTTGCTGTACCCTGTGTTTCTTGTTCTGTGTTCAGCCAGGCACTGCCCCCACTGCTCCTAGACTCCCACATGGCAACACTGTATCCCTTTCCCGAGTTGCTGTACCGCTCTGAGGAGGAAGATGACATACTGACTTTTATGCAAACGAGAGAGACCAGAGACTTATGGGATGCACCCAGACTGGAAAAGACCCCAAAACAACGAGCCACGCAAAAGGGAAGGAATAAAACCAGCACCATCTAACAAGGAAGACCCAGAGGAGTCCCCTGGCTTCTTTCCAGGGGCCGACATAACCTCAAGGAGACTCGACTGGGATGACAGCCTAGACTACGAGCCCTAAAGAAGGAGTCTTCCCGGGGACTCCCGTGAGGAAGGAAGGCCCAGCTCTGTCCTAGTGACAGAGCTGCACGGATCCTCCTCTTCTGCGGTGTCCAGTGGGAGCAGTGGCGGTGTGCGCAACCCCTCGGGCCCCCACCCCAGAGCTGTGCTGCTTAATAAAGGCCTTTTTAAAAGGAGCTGGTCTCCTGGCCCGTTTATCACAGCTTGGGGGCTCGTCCGGGATAGCCACGCCCTGAAGAGGACCAGGGACGGCACGGCCGCCCACCCTATTGGGCCTCCGGGGGACAGCTGGCTATACCGGACCCAGAAGAACAGCCTGGGATCGACATCGCAGAAGAGCACCGGATTGGGTAAGCCACCGGTGGCGGGAGTAGGAGGCGAGTGAGTGGATGTGTGAGTGAGACGGGGGCTGGCAGCTCAGACCCCCGGGGCGAGTGTGGACTGCCCAGTACCGCGGTTCCGGACTCCCGCGAGGGGGCCGGCCGGGAACGGCAGGAAGCGAAAGAGGCTCACTTGGGCCTAGAGAAACGAGTGAGGCGTCTCCTGGGGATAAAAGCCCCCCCTCTGAGTGCGCAGAGGGTACCTAAGAGAGTGAGTGGCGCACATAGGGGTAGGCCCCTCTACTGAAAAGGGCTAAACGGCCTAGGCTGCTCCGGGCGTGTGGAAGGCCTAGGTGAGTGAGAGTCACACGCAGGCAATCTAGGTAACTCCCGGGGTGGTGTGTGGGGGTGCCTAGGTTCGGTGTGAGTGAACACACCCCCCCCGCTTGGGTACTCAGACGACCTGACCGGGGAATTGGAATTGGGGGTCCCCAGGCCCTACCGGCACCAGGCGGTCAGCGAAGGGCCCTCGCTTCCCAGGGTCTGTGACACAGGACGTGCTGAAAGGCTCTAGTTGTCGCGGCTCAGTCTCGGCTCAGGGGGTTCCTGGGAAGGGAGGTCGTCAACCTGCTGCCGGAGAGCACAGGGGCAGGTAGTCTGCGCGGGCGGGCGAGGCAGCTAGAGTAATACACTCACGCATCCCTTAGCCGAAGCCATTCCCTGGTGGGCGGAGCGGCTAGGAGGCAAGGGGGAATTCTCCCACCACTCACTTACACTCAGCCCTCGCGCAGAAGCTATTCTCACTGGGGAAGGGGGATAGTCAGGAAGCGGA